CTCTCCCGGCCAGCTGCGGGTTCCCAGGGCCTCCTACAGCCGGGAGGAGGCAGGGGCGGGGCCACGGCGGGGCGGGGCCACGGCGGGGCGGGGCCGGGAAGAGAAGGAGCTTCTGAGTGAGGTCCTCAAGACCTTCTGGGTCTGCATCTTCAGCCTGCTTATATCCTTTATGAAACTGTGTGTGTGTTTGCACACACACATGCACACATGCTCCAGTCCTAGGGCCTGGATGCTGTCCTTGAACTGCTCAAGGCTCTAGTGCTCTGCCACTTGAGCCCCAGCTCCACGTCTGGCTTTTTGGTGGTTAAATGGAGATGTGTTTCACGGACTTTGCTGCCCAGGCTGCCTTTGAACCTCAGATCTCAGCCTCTGGACCAGCTAGGGTTACAGGCGTACACACCAGTGCCAGCATGAAACTAGGCTTAGCAAGAAACCAAACAACCAACCAAAGCTTTTGAAAACCTAACCCACCCTCCGGGCCTTCTGCTGTTGAGGAGAAAGCAGGATTCTGAGAGCCTGTGTTGCAGTTTCATAGTCACTGACCTAGCCACACTATAGGGGGTGCTACGCAATCCTGCCCCCCACCCTGTCCCACACCTATTTTCCAGGGCTAATGGCCCACCAGCAGGTGCCTGTGATTTGTCTGTTCACTTACCGTTGCTCTTTCAATGTTTATCATGATGTCTAATTTGCTGCTTTGGGGTTTGGGGGAGGTTAACTCCAATTCTAAAGCAATTCTTGTCATGCTAGGCAGGTATTCTGTCACTGGAGCCACGTCCCTAGCCGTTTTTTAGGTTAGAGTCTTGCATTTTTGCCTGGCTGGTCTCAAACCAGATCCTAGTACCTAGGCTTTCCACATTGCTGGGACTACAGGTGTGTACCACCATGCCCAGCCTAATTTATTGCTTCTCATCTGGGATTGATAATGCAAGTCAATCTTGTGGTAGAGTTTTTGTTTTATTTTGTGTTTGTACTGGGGCTTGAGCTCAGCTTTTTCACTTAAGGCTGGTAATCTACCACTTGAGTCACAGCTCCAATTCTGGCTTTTTGATGGTTCATTAGAGATAAGAATCTTACAGACTTTCCTGCCTGCACTGGCTTTAAACTTCAACCCTCAGATCTCAGCCTCCTGAGTAGCTAAGATTACAGGCACAAGCTACCCATACTCATTTAGTGGCTTAATAAAAGTTATGCTCCAGTTGTTGGTGGCTGTAATCCTAGCTACTCAGGAGACTGAGATCTGAGGATCAAGGTTCAAAGCCAGGACTGGGAAGGTGGCTCAGTGGTAGAGCGCTTGCCTTGCATGCCTGAGGCCCTGGGTTCGATTCCTCAGCACCACATAAGCAAAAAGAAAAAAAGCCGGAAGTGGCGCTGTGGCTCAAGTGGTAGAGTGCTAGCCTTGAGCTGAAGAGCTGAGGGACAGCGCCCAGGCCGAGTTCAGGCCCAGGACTGAACCCCCCCCCCCAAAAAAAGGTTCAAAGCCAGTCTGGGCAGGAAAGTCTGTGAGACTCTTACCTTCAATTAACTACACAGAAAAGGCCAGAAGTGGAGCTGTGGCTCAAGTGGTAGAGTGCTAGCCTTGAGCTGAAGAGCTGAGGGACAGCGCCCAGGCCGAGTTCAGGCCCAGGACTGAACCCCCCCCCCCAAAAAAAGGTTCAAAGCCAGTCTGGGCAGGAAAGTCTGTGAGACTCTTACCTTCAATTAACTACCAGAAAACTAGAAGTGGAGCTGTGGCTCAAAGTGGTAAAGCACTAGCCATGAGCTGAAGAGCTCAGGGACAGTGCACAGGCCCAGAATTCATGCCTCCTGGCTGACCAAAGCGGGGATGGGGGAGGTAGGGGGGGAAAGTTATGTATAAGTGAATAATAATTTGTCACTGAATTAATGCTTGGGGGTCTTCTGACAGCATTTCCTGTCTCAGTCCCTTTTTGCTTGTCGCTGGCTGGGTTCTTGCTGTATTTTGAAATTGTATGGGTGTGTGTAGATCCATGTGCTAATTGAATTTTTTCTCTTCCCAAGTAATTGTTGCACAAAGATTAATATGACAGAAAGCAATCACTTTGCCACCCACACTCCTATTCCACTTCTCAGAGCCTCTCTGGTTGGTATTTTTAGTACTATTTACAGCACCATCCCTACCCACTTCCCTCTGGGGACCCCCCCGCTCCCCGTCCCGCCATCAGAAGGGCTTGTCCCCATCCACTCATTTCTCTGGACAGAGGGCTAGTCCATTGTGTTCTGTAAGGTCAGATATAGTCAGCTGATTTAAATAGCCCGACTCCTGGGCACACTCTGCCTGGAAACATTGAGGGAGGATGGCAGGACACAAAGGTTGAGTTTGATTCTTTTTTTTTTTTTTTTGGTTGGTCATGGGGCTTGAACTCTGGGCCTGGGCGCTGTCCCTCAGCTCTTTCAGCTCAAGGCAAGCGCTCCACCACTTGAGCTACAGCATCACTTCCGGTTTTCTGGTGGTTTATTGGAGATAGGAGTCTCACGATCTATCCTGCCCGGGCTGGCTTTGAACCGCGATCCTCAGATCTCAGCCTCCTGAGTAGCTAGTATTACAGGCGTGAGCCACCAGCGCCCGGCTTTGAGTTTGATTCTTAAGACACGAGTTCATTCCAGCAGCTTGCGCCTACAAACAGGCAGACTTGTGCTATAGAGCACATTTTGTTTTTAAAATAACTTCCTTTGCTTTTTTTTTTTTTCTTTTTTTGGGTCCGGTCGTGGGGGGGGGGGGCCTGAACTCTGGGCCTGAGCGCTGTCCCTCAGCTCTTCAGCTCAAGGCTAGCACTCTACCACTTGAGCCACAGCGCCACTTCCGGCTTTTTCTTTTTGCTTATGTGGTGCTGGGGAATTGAACCCAGGGCTTCATGCATGCAAGGCAAGCGCTCTACCACTGAGCCACCTTCCTAGGCCTTTTTCTGCTTATGTGGTGCTGAGGAATTGAACCCAGGCCTCATGCTTGCGCTGTACCATTGAGCCACCTTCCCAGCCCCTGTGTCTCAGATTCCATGCTGTAAGATTCGTTGCTTTGCATCTGCCCCTGTTGAAAATGCAAGGGCCTGGAGGAAGAGCCCGAAGGAAAACTCCCGGAGGTTTGTCTCAGGCCTGGGAGGGAAGGCCCAGTGAAACGGGAAGTGAGTTCAGGGGCAGCCTCCCACCGCCCTGCTCAGTTTTGTCCTGAAGCTGCACCTTGTCTTCAGGAACTTGGGTCTCACAGGCGGTCCAATCCTCTGGCTCACTCCACCCCACAGATCGCTGGCGTCAGGGGAACCGGGAAAGGGTGAAGCCCCCAGCTCTGGCCTCACCGGTGGGGTGTGCCCTCCCTCAGGTAGTCTGGAGTAAGACAGAGAGGATCGGCTGTGGTTCCCACTTCTGTGAGACGCTCCAGGGAGTTGAGGAGACTAACATCCATTTACTGGTGTGCAACTATGAGCCCCCGTAAGTGCTGGGGGGCCGGGGGAGGGAGGGGGAGGCAGGCCTGGACAGTTGAAGGAATCGTGTGTCTGTGTGAATGGGGCTCTGGGGTCTGTACCTTCCAATGAGCTGTGAGGCCACTGAATGGGGGTGGGGTGTCTGAGTTCGCTAACCAGGGGGCCAGGGGAGGCTCAGGCTGCCTAACAAGTTGCCAGTGGGAGGGAGCAGACTCAGGAGCATGCCGAATGGGGTGCATGGGAATGGGGACCGGGTGGAAAGGGACTGGCCGCCCCCCCTCCAGCATTGGCCTCATCCATGCAGGGGGAACGTGAAGGGGCAGAGGCCCTACCAGGAGGGGACTCCGTGCTCCCAATGCCCCGCTGGCTATGACTGCAAGAACTCGCTCTGCGTGAACTTGGCCGGTGAGATCACGGGGCGCTGGGGTTGGGGGTGCAACTGGGTGGTCTGGGGTTCTCTTGACTGTGCATGTAGAAGGGAGCCCGCAGAGGCTCGCTCCGCCCTCCCTACGTGGCCACTTTGGCGCCCTATCATCGCAAGCTACCAGATTTGGACCTTTTGCCAATATGGAGCAGTTGCCAGGCTCAGGAGCACCAAGGGGGCCACACAAATGGGTGTGGTCTGTGCTTCGAGTGTGCAGTGTCTGTGTGCAGTGGGCGTGTTGTGCGTGCATTGAAACAGAACGGGCCTAGAGGAGCTAGCGCAGAGAAGCTCCTGAGAAGCTGGGCTGAGGAGTTATTGTCTCCTTTAAGAAGTAACAGTTGCTGCCAGGTGTTGCACCTGTCATCCTAGCTACTCAGGAGGCTGAGATCTGAGGATTGCAGTTCAAAGCCAGCCGAGACAGGAAAGACCTTGAGACTCTTATCTCCAATAAAACCACTAGAAAACCGGAAGTGGTGCTGTGGTAGAGCGCTAGCCTTGAGCTGAAGAGCTGAGGGGCAGCGCCCAGCCCAAGTTCAGGACCCACAATCGACCAAAAAAAAGTAACAGTTGCTGGGAATGTAGCTTAGTGGTGGAGGGCTTACCTAGCATTCATGAAGCCTCAGTATTTCTCACTATTTCTCTCTATTTCTCACTACCACATAAACAGAAAAAGGTTCGATTCCTCAGTACCATATACACAGAAAAGGCCAGAAGTGGAGCTGTGGCTCAAATGGTAGAGTGCTAGCCTTGAGCAAAAGCTCAGGGACAGTGCCCAGGCCCTGAGTTCAAGACCCACGACTAACAAAAAAAAAGTAACAGTTGCCATCCAGAGACTTGCATGCTGGAGAGCCTTGTGTAGGTTGGGTGGAATGAAGAATGTGGGGTTCCCTTTGCACCACTAATGCCAGGCCTTGCCTATCAGAACCCAGGAGGGACCCAGAAGAAACGCAGGATTTGCCTCATCTGGAAACTGAAGCCTGGACCACTCTGGCAACTGAAGTCTCAGGCTCTAAGGAGACTGATAGTCCAACAGTAGCCACAGAGACTCCATCCTTCTCTATAACAGAGGTTTCAGGCTCCCCAGCAACCAAGGTCCCAACTTCCTTAGCAACGGAGAAGCCCTTCTCCATGGTAACAGAGGCTCAGCCCTCCCTAGCCCCTGAGGTCCCTTCTGCTCTTGCAACCCAGAGAGCACATTCCTCAGATGAAGGACTAGTTATCTTCCCCCAGTCAACCCATGATCCTGTCCCCAAGCCTGTGGACAAAGGAGCCAGCAAGACAAGCATACCCTCCTCCATCGGCCCAGAGATATCTCTGTACCCCAAGATGGTCCCTAAAGGGGCAGGAGAGCCCCTACCCCATTCCCCCGAGGAGGCCGAGGCCGAGCCGCCTTCTCCCAGTGAGGTCTTGACCGCAGTTTTTCCAGAGGAGGACAATCCAGGTGAAGTGCAGGTCACTGCGGACCACACAGGCCACACCTCCTCCAAGTCCCTGCCCAATTCCCCCATCGCCTCAGCTAATGCCATGGGCGGGCTGACCCTGGCCCTGCAGTCATCCTTGCCAGGTAAGGCCTGTGCCCGCCCCCCATGTTCCCTCTTGGCTCCACCATGGCCGCATCCTGTCCCAGCATAGGTGGTGGGGGCATGGTGGCGCATGCTCCCTGAGAAGACGCTTCCTCCCTGGCTGCTGCCCGCCCCCCTGCACGGTGAGGTGGAGGAGAGATCGGGCACAGCTGTCTCCAGGCTAAGGCCTGGCTCCTTTCTTCCCACAGGGACAGAGGGGGCTGAAGAGCCCGGGAGGGACCTAAGGCTGAACTCTAGTCACACTTGTGCCCCTCTCCTGGTGCTGCTGCTGCTTCCCCTGCTGTTGGCTTCCATTTTCTGAACGGGACACCAAAGGCAAAGCCCGGCCCAGGAGCAGGGCCTCTCCCCACTCTGGATGGTGTTCCTCCCAATGACAGGCCGCAGCTTTCTAGGCAGGTCCTGCTCTGTGGCCCAACAGCCCCCATCACCCCATTTTCTGGACAGATTCCAGGCCAGGACTCCTGTTCCCCCGGGCCCCTCAGGTACGGCTCCAGGGGTTCCTCTTCCTCTGGGGGTCCGGGCTCGCAGGGGCCACAGATGGTTCTGAGGGGTGTTCCAGTGGTCACTGGTTGTCGCCTCCAGCGGCCTGCGGCCCCAGCCTGCTCTCCCAGGGCCAGGCAATCTTGGTCTCTCCAAGCGCTCCTGGTCCCCTTCCAGTGTCTGGGCCTCTTCTTCGACCTACCTGAGCCCAGAAGGGCTGTCCCCAGAGGGCCTCCTGCCTTCCCAGGGTGAAGAGAAGAGAGCAGCTGCCCAACTGCCATGTCCCCCCTCTTGCTTCTGGCCCCCAAACAAGACATTTCCTGGCCAACAGCCTCCTGAAGGGCAAGGCTTCAAGGCTGGGTCTCCTTCGTGACACCCGCTGGCTGCCAGCCATGACCGCGCCTCCCGCCCCTCCCAGCCCAGTCCTGCACAAGGCCCGTTCTGGGCGCCCTGCTTGGGCAGTGTCCAGAGCCTGAGCTTTCCACGTGCCCACACAGCCGGGGGGTGGGGGCCAGTGCGGAGGCACAAGGATCAGATGAGGAACCAGCCTCACCCAATGGGGTTCTATGGAAGTGGAGGGCAGAGATGGGGGGTAGGGCTCCCTGAATAAACTCCTGAATAAAGCCTGTGTGAGAGAGAGCCAGGTCTCCATGCTTGTAGAGGCCAAGGAGGCCCAACTCCACCCCTCCCCACATGCCTCTCCCCAAGCACTCCATGTCTTCCTGGGCTGTCCCCTCCACCCAAGCCGCATGGGGCTGTGTGAGCAGGGGAGGAGACACAGCAAGGCCCAGGGCGCCGCTGCCCTGCTCAGGCTCAGGAGCCGGCAGCGCGGCCTAGGTGGACTCAGGGTTCAAGATCAAGGCAGGACTCCGGGCCTTGCGCAGGGGAGCCGGGGGTGCCGCTGCCCAGGGCCATGTAGGACACAGATGAGAAATGTGCCTTGCGAGGCCATGCCGGCGCCTGTGCTCTGAGGCCCCAGGTACAGCGCGGGACTGTAGAGCAGAGCTGTGCGCCAGGAAAGGCCCAGTGTGTTGGGGGATGGGGGAGCAAGTAGGTAAAGGGGAGGGACAGCAGGGTCAGGCCAGGCTGGACGCTGGTCTGCGTGGATATTCTGAAGGGTCTGTGACCCCAAGCACTGGCATGGCCCCACGGGTCCTCCCCCACCCCCCACCTCAAAGCCCAGTGGCCTTCCAACCCAGTGCCACACCCACGTGAGGGGTGTGTGTGACTAAGACCCCGCCCACAAGGATGAGCGTCCCCACAAGACTCCAAATCACCACCAGTACATTTATTCGGGGGAGATGGGGGTCAAATCTTACCATGGGCTTTAGAAGGGGCAGGAGTTAGAGACACCGATCTGCCTACCTTCTGCGATTCACAAGTGCTCAGGAAACCAGACCCTGCGTGTGCGGCGTCACCATTAAACAGACGGGCGGAAGGGGGTCACATTCAGAGGAGTCACATGATTTCCATTGGGAGGTAGTGCCCCCGTGTCAGGAAGTAGTGTTGCGAAAACCAGGCAGAACCCGGAGTGGGCTTTCTAGACGGGATGGCGGCCTCTGACGGGGGAGCGAGCCCTATTTACAAAGCAGGAGGAGGGGCTCCCAGCCAAGCCACAGATGAGGGCTGGGCAGCCTGGGGGGGTGGGGTGAGACCTGACCCCAACTGCTATTCCTCACCCCTGAGCCCTTACATGAGAGACTCAGCAAACCTGGGAAGAGAGTGCACCCCAATTCTTCACCCCTAAGGCTAGAGGAGTCAATGGCAGAGCACTTTCCTGGCATGTGCAAGGCCCTGGGTTCTGCTACCAGTCTATCCCAGCGCTGCAAATATAAACCAGTCCCTCTCTACCTTCCCAGGGCTAACTGGTGACCCCTCCACTGCACGCAACTCCCCCACCCGCCCCCCCCGCCAGCCCCACACCTGGACAGACACATGGCAATATGGAAACTGAAGCCCAGCCGGGCTGGAGCACATGAAGGTGTTGCTGGGTTGGAGTGTCTCGCAGGTGCCCGAGATGAGTGGACCTTCCCCAGAGCCCGCTGAGACTGGGAGTCTGGTCAGGCGATTTGATTCAGGTTACTCCAGGGCGAAGCACGATCCTGATGACACCCGGCGGAAAAGCAGGCTGGAGCCCCGGAAGAGCTGACCCTGGATAGGAAGGGACAGATGTCGGTGAGGAAACCATGCTTCCTCGTCCCTCCCACAGGACAAGTGGCAGGAGCTCAGAGACCAGGATCAGGAGAGGAACAAGGAAGGGCAAGGGGAAGCAAAGGGAGCACACATGTGTGAGCCACCCAGGAGGCTTGCTGGCTTCGGGGTCCTGGGAGAAGACAAGATGCAAGTCACCCGACCAGATGCTGGGAAGAGCTTTGTCTGTGTCTTCCTTAGTCCCTTCGTCCATCTGGCCTCCTCCTAACCCAGAGGCCACTCAGCATAAAGCAAAGCAAGGAACAGATGAAGGACCACAAGCCTGGTCCCTGACCAACGGGCCCCACAGCTTCAGGCCAAACTAGGCACTGGTGGCTCAGACCTGTAATCCTAGCTATTCAGAAGATCTGAGGATGGAGGTTCAAAGCCAGCCAGGGGAGAAAAGTCTGTGAGACACTTATCTCCAATTAGTCAGCCAAAAGCTTGAAGTGGTGCTGTGACTCAAGTGATAAAGCACTACCTTTGAGTGGAAAAAGATAAGGGAGAAGGCTTTGGTCCTGAGTTCAAGCCCAAGTAGTAGCACCAAAAACAGCAGAGCCACACACCTGTAATCCTAGCTACTCAGGAGGCTGAGATCTGTCTGAAGATTGTGGTTCTAAGCCAGCCCAGACAGGAATATCTGTGAGATTCTTATCTCCAATAAACCACTAGAAAACTGGAAGTGGTGCTGTGGCTCAAGTGGTAGAGCACTCGCCTTGAGCTGAGGAGTCAACAACAGAGCCCAGGCCAAGTTCAAGCTCCAAGACCAACCAAAAAAAAAAGAGAGCAGAGCCAGCAGACCCTAGAACTCGAGGCTGCTCCATTCCAGACACCCCAACGTCCTGGCAAAACCAGGTCTGCTGAGCTCAGGGGACCCTACAGAATGGCCCGAAGGTCTTCCTGACAAGTCAGGACCGCAGTGGGACGGTGTCAAAGCCCACCTTAGGAAACGGAGCCTTAGTTTTTCTTTTGTCGGTCATGGGGCTTGAACTCTGGGCCTGGGCACTGTCTCTCAGCTCTTCCAAAGCACTCTACTATGTAGCCATAGCGCTACTTCTGGTTTTCTAGTGGTTTATTGGAGATAAGAGTCTCACAGACTTTCCTGCCCAGGCTGGCTTTGAACTGAGATCCTCAGATCTCAGCCTCCTGAGAAGCTAGGATTACAGGTGTGAGCCACCAACGCCCAGCTGAGCCTTAGTCTTGTGAATAATTTTACCTACTCACTTTATTAATACTAAATGCATGGATCTCACTGCATTGCACAGGCTGGCCCTGCACCGGGCTCATGGGATCCTCCTGCCTTAGCCCCTGGAGTTGCTGGGACTACAGGCGTGTACCACTGCACCTCTGACATGTAGATTTTTCAGTGCCAGGAACTGGGTCTGATGGGTAATTTTTAAGGAAGTCCAGACTGGGCCACCTCAAATTCTTCAGAAATATGGCAAGTAGCTGGGCACTGGTGACTGTCATTCCAGCTACTCAGGAGGCTGAGATCTGAGGATTGCAGTTCAAAATCAGCCTGGGCAGGAAAGTTCGTGAGACTTATTTGCAATTAACAACTAGAAAACTGGAAGTTGTGCTGTAGTCCAGAACAGCTCAGGGTCAGGACCCAAGCCCTGAGTTCAAGTCCCATGACTGACAAAAAGAAAAAAAGAAATGTGGCAAGTGGAAACTTAAAATGCTTTAAACCAAGTACTGTACTCTTTATCCGCCTGATTTGCAGCATTCGTTTCTCAGGGCCCTGCATCCCTTACCCACCCCAATGTCATTCCCCCCTCCCCCTAAATCAGGTCATTGGACTCATGTGACCAAGAACAGCAAGAGCCTCTTCTGCTGGCGCTCGCTCACCTGTGTGCTCAGGTACTTCCAGCAGTGAATCCAGGATTTGAACACCGGAGAGTATGGGGGAAGGCCAGCCTGCAGCCTGCGGGGGAAAGTGTGTGTGAGCCAACAGGCAGGGGCTCATGCGCTGGCTCCCGGCTGCCGCCTGCCCACATCCTTGAACCAGACCCCCCTTGGGGGCTGGAGGCTGAGATCACTCCCAGCTGTACCCAGCAGAGCGGGCGTCCCCAGCAGCCTGAGCAGAACCAAATAGAGGGGTGCACACGTACCCGCAGTTGTTCACAGCCATGAGGTCTCCAACGAGCAGGAAGGGGTAGGTCAGCATGCTCACTGCGATCTAAAAGACACAGCCTGAGCGCCAGGGCCCCCATGCAGGCCCACCAATAATGAGGCAAAGACATGTCCAGCCCCAAGAGGGGTGGCCTCCTAGCCCACCCCAGCCCGCAGGGCAGGGCAGCTGGTCCGACTCACCCCCATCACGAACTTGGTGTAGCTCCGGATGGCCAGGGCCTGGCTGAACTGTGGAGACAAAGGCAACATGACTGGGCACCCCAGGAACACAGCTCCGCAGCCCCCCGCCTCACCTGCACCCCTCCCCCTCCCTTCTCCAGCGCCTGCTCCCCTGGCCTCAGTCACAGCCAGAGAGCTGGAAGGAGGCTGGCCGTGACTGAAGCCAGGAAAGCAAGACCCCTCGTTGCTGGGCTGGAAGCCCAAGGTGTCGCCTGCGGCCACCTGACCACCCAGGCTCAGTGCCGCTGTGCCTTAGTGAGGAATGCTCCGGGCAAAACCAAACCCCCATCGTGGCCGGTAAGTGGCCCCTAACAAGGCAAGGTGACAGCACTGTCCTGGGCAGCAGCCATGCTGGCAACAGGATGGCACCGAGCCCTGGGGTGAGATCAGCTCAGCCCATGGGATGGCGAGAGAGCTGGGCAGCCTGTCCTGCTCCAGCACACACGCACTGTCCACACAGCCTCTGCCGAGCTGCCCACTCGGACCCCAGCAATCGGCCTGCAGTGCGCCCTCATGCCAATGCACCATGGTGACAGCTCACCCACAAGGGCCCGGGGCAAGGGGCAGCTGCAGCCTCGGGTCACCGTAACTGCAGGTGGGAGGGGATCGCTAGGAGGCCATCTTAATCTGCGGACACTGAAGGTCCAACCAAGACACGCCCAGCCAATCCAGGGGCAGCCATCTCCAATGCAGAGCCTCACGTGGGGCCGCCCCCGCCTCCAGGTGGTTCTGACACACAGGTCCCCAGGGCCCTCTCCCCAACCCCTTTAGCTTGGCCCAGCACAGTCCATCAACACCTCCCGGGCACAGACGCCCTTCAACAGCACTGCGCAGCTGTCCGTGGTCTGCGCACTGCACCCTGCGCAGACCTCTGTGGCTGAAATGCACAGAGCCTGGTCAGTGCTCTCCCCAGCCCACTGAAAAAAGACAAGGGGGAGGAGCCCTCAGCCCAACACAGGGAAAACCTCAGCCCCGCCCCGCTGCTGGCAGCAGTGACTATGAAGGCCCATTCAGCTTCTGGGCCCTGGTTTCCATGATCCTCAAACAGAACGCTCTGCCTGTCCTGTTCCTCTGATGATCAGTGCTGGTAGGATCAAGGGATGTGCTGTTCTGAGCTCTGGGTCTGGGTGTTGTCCTTGAGCTCTTCAGCTCAAGGCAAGCGCTCTACCCCTTGAGCCACAGCACCACTCCAGTTTTCTAGTGGTTAATTGGAGATATGAGTCTGATGGACTTATCTACCGGGGCTGGCTTTGAACCACGATCCTCGATTCTCAGCTTCCTGAGTAGCTAGGATTATGGCATGAATCCCCAGAGCTCAGCTGCCTCCCTTCTTCATTTAGTTTTTCAAGCCTGGGTCTTGCTATGTATCCCAGGCTGGCCTTGAGTTCTCAGTACCTCAGTACCCCAAGTGCTGAGATGACCAGTGGACACCACACCTGGCCACGTAAAGGTGTTGAAAGCATAAAATATGAAGCACAAGTTAAAGGATTATGGCTATTCCCCTGTCTATCTTGTGATTTCTTGAGTCTTAGTTGGGCCTCTGCCTCAAGACAGCCCAGGTAAACTGGGGCCTTTGTAGGACACGGGGGGGGGGGGGG